GGAGTTGAAGTCCACTCATCTTAAAGTGGCCAAGTTTGGACAACACTGACCTAGGTGAAATACTGGTCTTCTGCATTTGGTTTGCAGGCCCTGTTGCTTTTCATGTTCTGCTCATAAGTTTTGCGTTTTTCGGGCTCCCGCTAAGCGTCTAACCTTGAATGTTCACAACTGTGCCAGTCTCCCTTGCAGATACCCATCCAGCAATGTCTGCAAGAATCTGGCGACCCCGGGGTCGGAAGGAGGACATTTCTCTACGGTAAAGGTTCCCCGGGTGGAGTGGGGGGTTACAAGGCCTGCCCCGTTGCAAGATGTGCCAGTAAACGTCCAGATGGTTTCATCTACAAATGCCAAAATGGTTGGCAAAGGATGGGGCAGAAGCATTTCCGGTTGCCAGAAGGCCTCAAAGACCAATTGCAGCCTTTCCTCAGTCAGTGGCCCATCGGCCATGTTGGACTTAGAGATCCCCAAATTTCCAGCCAAGACTGAAAAGCACCAGGCTGGTGACGCCCTGGAGCGTCCTACCCCATAGGGTTGGTCTGGAGACAAGGCCAGGTCGCTTGCTTGCAGACAGAACATCTGGATGCCCCGAGCCCTTTCTAGCTTTCTCCTTTGGGCTGTTCCCTTAGTTGATGGGCAGGGCTTTGATTACGCCATTGCAGCTGCCATCTTGCTCTGCTTCCTGCTGATGAAGCCCTGTGCCCGCCCTCTGCCCCCCACCCGCTTTTCCCTAGGGGTGGAGCAGACGCCTCCCACCACGTGCTCTCTGCCCCCCCTTTCTGAACGCCAGCCAGAGCCACCGGGCCGCCCCACGCTTGCCGCATCACCTGCAGGACCGGGTCCGGAAGCTGCGGGCAGAGAACAGCGTTTACTCGGCGGGCACCCTGGGCGGCTTCTACGAAGGCTGGGTAAGCGCTGGGTCCGCCTTGCAGGAAAGGAGGGGGGAAGCCGGCTCAGGGGGGGCAGTCAGGGTCTCCGTTCGTTCATTTATTTACCAACTGCACAATAGTCCGATTCTCTGCTTCGTAAAAAAAAAAGGGGGGTTGCAGAGAATCGGACTGTTGTGGATTGTAGGGAGCACGGAGATCATCTGGCAAACCCTCTGTGTGCAGAAAAACCAAACATCCTCAAGATCCAAACAGGGAGACCCCATCATTTCTGTAAAGAGGCCGTTCTAGCGACATAGGGACCTTATTCTCAGGCATTTTTCCTCATATTGAAATGAAATGTAGGTAAATAGCCAGCAAAATATACTGGCTATTCCTGGTCCTGGTTTCTGTGGTTCCTGACCATCTTCCCTCTGGCTCTCTTATGTAGTGGGGCTTGGAGTGGGGAGAACTGGGTTCAAGTCCACCCTCTGCCATGGACGATCACTGAATAACTCTGGGCCAGTTGCTTTCTCTCAGCCCATCCTACCTCACAGGGATGTTGTGGGAAAAGCACAGGTCTTGTACTATGCTTAGATGTAAGCCCGTACCAACCCCCCCCTCCCAAATTTGCAGAATTTGCAAACTCGTGAAAGAGAGATTCCTTATGGCGGTCAGTGGCCAGTCTGTAAAGCATGCTGTGGGCATGAAACTAGTATTGATTGATTAGTTAATGAGATAAGCATATCAATCAAAAGTCTGCACACTTTACATATTGCATGCCAAAATTTGACCACGCTTAAAGAAATAGAGTCACAGGGGTCCAAAAGTAAGAGCTTTCAATAAAATGGATCAGAGGACGGGGGAATTTAGTTCAATGTGGGATTAACAGCTCATCGCGTAAAATGAACTGCAAATAAAACAAATTTGGTGGTTCCACGGGCTCCTCCTCCACATGAGCAGAGTCTGGATTGGAATGGAAATTCTCGATATGCATCCCAGCCCCTCTTAATGTCTGCTGTCTCAAGTCCCTAACGTGCCCCCATCCTTTCTCCGTGCCTTTCAGAGGCCCCTGGCTTTGGAGCGCTCGCTTTCTGGACTCTGGGCGAGGAACAGCAGGGAGCAGCACCGTCCCCGACCTGATCTGACTGCAAGCACGTGAGAAGAGCTTCACGCAATGGCACTTTGTTCCAGAATAACCCAGAGAGTGCATTCAACCCTGAAGTTGCTTGGGAGTGGAAGGAGACCTGTGGAGAGTCCCAGGCACCTCTGGCTTCCTTTCCCAGTTTGATGCCTTTGGGGGCTGGTTAGCACTTGAATGGGAGACCACTCGGAAATCACAGGCTAGGTGGGGAAGGGGAAAAATGGCAGACGATGACTCCTGTAGCCAAGAAAACAGACATGGACATGTCCCTGAAGGCAAGGGGGCGAGGGCTTAGCACAGCTTCTGTACTGCAAGACCATGACTGTGAAATGACCAGCTCAGATCCCCTTGATGGGCCTCTGATTAATCGATATCAGTGGTCTGATCCTTCCCTTCAAGGCAGACCGTCGATCCTTCGATAACAGTCAGCAATACAAATGGAATGTGAAAAAAAAGTGTTGAAAACGTCCCTTTCCTATTTTTATCACGCTAACCTCGACCAGGATTCCCAGGTTGGGATTTCAACCTTTCCTAACAATTTCTGAGCTTTGCTTGTTTTTAAGTAGACGTATGTAAGTACTTCAGTAACTTTTTCTGCAGTTCTCTAGAAAATAGGTTCTGCTGGTTGTTTAAACAAATTTCCTTTCCTGACATATTTAATTATCTCTTTTGGTTCTTCAAAGTCTTCTAAAATCCATGTATTCTTTCCAATGGTATTTCAGCGTTTTTTTCTCCAAAAACTTTAAAAAGTTACGCCATCTTGCAGAACTCTGCCATGATTTCGGTAGACAAGAGGGGACGAACGACAGTGACCATATGAAAGTTGAATGGTGGCTTTTCTGTGAAATACAATTCCGAATTTTGCCTACGTGTCACTTTTCCCCCCCCCCTTCTGGGATGGAGTTCCAAGAAAATTAGATCACCATTAGATCAATTAGAACTAAAGCCAATACTGCAGATTTAGCTGGCAACTATGCGGTTGTAAATGTACCTAAATGAAAGAAGTCATTAAAAAAAAATTTGCGTGGCTTTCTGAACGGCAGCGTGTGAAGCTGATCAAATAGTTTGTGAAATGCTTGGTTTCTCTTTTTGGGGGAAAAAAAAATAGACTGCTTAAAACACGAGATACAAAACAGAGAAGTGAATCGAGGCAAATCCGACTGTATGTAATCACAATGTTTTTCTGCTGTTTTATATTTTAGGTTGTTTTACATTTTTTTAATTTAGTTATGCTGGTTATTGGGTGGTGTAAACATACAGTGGAAAGGAGGAGGAATCAGCAATAGCAAGTCTCGTTTTAAGTATCTTTCCACACATCCTTCCCCAATTACAATGGGATTAATTAGAACAGTGTTTCTCAAATAACTTTAAGGCGTGGGGGGGTATTTCCCATCTCTACTCACCACCCCATCACCCCCCCCCGCGGGGGTGCGGGGGGGGGGAGTGGTTTTTT